TTTTTTGCGTTTTTCGATAGTAACGAAGATTTTTATAATATTCTAACTTTGTCTTTATTTAAAATTTCAAAAAAATTTCGATAACAAAAGCGAAAGTTTTTTTTAAAATTTGGGAGTATACGAGTATCCCCCCCCCCCGTTTTTGGAAGGGGGGATAGCTGAACTCGTCTTTAGGCGAGCTGCCTACGTATTCCTTTCGGAAATCAAGCCATCTCGTAGTTCGGATTGTTTGTGCGAGTATGCTTACTCGGCTGTCGCAGACTTTTCGATCACTTCAGTTGTCGGATCGATGTCTTTGTCCGGGCTTTTCTCCTCCGGTTGGGTGGAAGCGATGGGTGCGGAAATTTGCTGTTCCTCGACCGTTGCTTGCTTTGGATTGTCTTCCGCGGGCGGTGGCGTAACCTTTTCCCGTTTCAGTTTTACGATTGCGACCGCCAATTGTCTCAGCTTGTGTTCGGCCAGGAAGCAGGATCGTGATTGTCTTTGGCATCCCCAAATTGCTGCGATTCCCGTGGGAGTCGGGAATTTGATGCCTAAGTGATACGTCGATAGAACCACCTTCATGGAATTTATCCAAGTCGTTCCCATGATCACATTGTAGATATCCGGGAAATTGACTACCGCGAAGTTGACGATTTTCGTCACTTCTTTCGCTGCGACCAGTAGTCGGATCAATCCTAGGGTCATGGATGTCTCGCCGGAGAAACTGGTCAACGGTTTTTGAATTGGCTCGACTTCCGAGAGATCAATTCCCATGCGTGCTAGCGTGTTGCGGAATATCACGTTGACGGTACTTCCAGTATCGACCAGGATTCGAGCAACTTCTAAATCGCGTATCACTAAGTCGATGACAAGGGGATCGGTGTGAGGTTGGTCGATTTCGCCGTTCAGCGTCGTCGAATGAGATTACCCCTTTCGGAGAGTCATCCGTCGGCACCTTCCAACTCGAGCCGGTTTTGGCATTACGTTGGTAGGATTTGATTGATGAGACGGTGTCGTTGTAGTATTGCGATTCACCGATAATCATGTTGATTTTTCGGCGGTTAGCGTTGTTACCCTACTCATCTTGTCTTCGTCCGCGTTTTTCACCCGACTGGTTCCCTTGAGGCGGAGTTTCATCTCGCGAGTTCCTGTCGTTTTTCGGGAGACGGTCCGAGTCGCGGATGAGATCTTTGACGCTGGATATCTCAGAGAGTTCTCCTGCGATCATTTTTGCAGCAAGTCTAACGCCGAGAACTTTGCAGTTCACGGTGGAGTGTCCACGGGTTTGGTGGAGGTCGCAGAAAGTATTCTGATCATAATTCGAAGTTCTCGTCCACGTGTTACCCGTGGTTCGTCCTTGCTCCGATCCGGAGTTAATAGCGTAGTTAAGCGCCCCTTGGAGATCCTGTCCCTCGTGATGGACGAATTTGTCGTTACGAGAATTCCTCTTTTTCTGCTTCTGCTCGGACGCGTTATCCTTTGCGGACGTTTTCGTCGGCTTATGCTTTTCGGACAGGATTTTTGTCTCCTCTTCGATGGTTATGTAATCAGTAGCCTTATGGAGCGCGTCCTGAATCGTCCGCGGTATCTCGAGAGTTATCCATTTGCGGAATTTTGATTTGAACCAGAACGATTTCCTTAACGCGTCGATGGCTGCTTTGTCGCTGATTCCCCTAACCCTAGCCATGACGAGTTTGAACCTACTCATGAAATCGCGGAGAGATTCGTCCTCCTTCTACGCCGAGCTCCAGAGGTCGGCGTCGGAGGTTTCCGGGTTAATGAACATCGAGTATTGCTTCAGGAATTCCGAAGCAAGTCGACGGAAACTTCCGATCGAATTTCGCCTAAGTTTGGCGAACCATTCGAGCGCTGCTCCTTCTAGGTTTTCGACGAAGAGACGGCAGTGGCCTGCGTCCTTTTCGTGGTCCTTGAGTTTGGCTCGTCCCATGGTAATCTGGAATGCCTGTAGGTGTGCTTTGGGATCAGACGTCCCGTCGTAAGTCGGCACCTTAAGTTTTCCGGGATCGGGCAGTTTGACCTCGGTGATGCGAGCTGTGAAGGGCGTTTTCCGAGACTCGTACAGTAGCCGATCGATTTTGGGTGCGGCGCTGGTAGAGTGATGAATCTGAGATTTCACCGCTTTTACCGCTGCGGGCGTTTTAGTGATGTATTCGCGGAGATCGTGAATCTCAGTCAGATTTCCAGCAGTTTTCTGACCTTGTCGGCGTTTGCTGCGAGTAACCGGAGATCGCTCCTCGGTATTTTTTGCGTATAGCGCAAAGTCGAGTTCCTCCTCGTCTCTAGTAAGAAAACGTTCGAGAGAAGACTCCGGTAGAGGACTTCGAGTTTTTCTTCTCCTATGATGGATGTCAGCGTCTTCGTCCGATGAATCGGCCTGGTCGCTTGTCTCTAGGTTAACACTTTCGATGCCGTAGCCCTCCGTCTCCTTTTCGTGAGTAGGAGGTTTCTCCGATTCGTTTAGCGTCGCGTCAAGGTTCTCTTTTCCGAAATCTTTCTCCGGTAAGTTACCCTGCTCGGTTCTGGGACTATCCGTAGGAGCGCCGAAATCGAGCCTCCTTCCGCGGATCTTAGTAGTTCCGCGGGGGCGAATTGCTTGGGTTTTCGCGGTTAGGGTTTCAACCCGTTTTGCGAGCGATCCGATGAGCTTTTCCTGCTCTTCCGACTTTTTGTTAAACTCGGAAAGCATCTTTTCGATGGCCTCGGCATTAGCGTTTGTAGCGTTGGCCGCGGACGCATCTTGTGGTGGTGGTGTTTCAACATTGTCGCCTTCGTTGCGAGTTTTGTTGTCACCAGTCATCGTTTCTTCGTTGGACATGTTGCGGCTTCGGTGTAAGATAGATCCGACCCCCCCCCTCCTTCTAGCGCCAAACTGTGGGAACCGAAATCCACCTACTGTCAATAGATCGTAAATAAGGAAACTTCAGGTAAACCTTAAGTTTTCAGACGAACCGGCTATCTGCAGAACCGCACAACGATAATTAAGAAAACGATGAACTTTAAAATTAAAAAGAGAATGAATGAGATTGAGAGCAAGAAGGTTCTTATTCCGAATATGCGTAAGAACTGGTACAAAGAGAGTAGCCGAAACTCTAAAAGTCTAAGAACGAAAAACCCTAGTTGAGACGCAGCTCGCTAACAGAAAACGAAAAAATTCCTAAACGCTAATTTTGGTGGTGAAAGCTCTGAAAATCGTGTCCCAGCTTCTACCCTATGCCTCTTGCTTATATACTCCCTCTTAGGCGGTTTTAGTCTTTCCATTTCTCCTGAAATCTAGTTTATCGGGAATTTTCCATTTCTCTTGATCCTTCCTTTTCTCTCGCGGAAATCTTCGATTTATCTTCAAAATTGCCTTTTGTCTTCAAACTTGTTATTTATCTTCCTTCTGCGAGTAAACCATCAAAACGTTATCGTGTCTTCGGGTTTGATTTCGTTAATATCGCGAGATGGGTTTTTATCGTATTTTAGGACCTTTCGGGCCGTTTTACGACTTTATACGAGATCGTTTCCTGATCCCATGCCGTTTTTTATGATTTTCTCGACTTTTTAATAAAAACGCGTTTTTATGATTTTAACGAAAAATATCGAACAAATCGTATAGTTTAGGCAATGTTCGGTGTTTCGTTTAACCGTTGCCGTTTTATACGATTTCCTCGAGTTCTTTCCGAGAAAACGAAGTTTTACGGTTTTTATCGTAAAACTCGAACGATAGGTCAGATCGAGACGAAAAGGGAGACATTTTGAACATGGTTCAGAGCACGACCTTGTCGAAGGTCGTAAGCACTGAATCGGGGATACAGAAGATCGAGGCTCGGGATGGTTGATTTGACGTACGGCGAACCGGGCTGGACCGGTCCGGCTGGCTGGTCGGTGAACCGTCCGGGAAGCTTCTAGTTCGCCCAACGGCGAACTAAGCCGGTCATGGCTTAGTTCGCCGTTGGGCGAACTAGCCGGGACGAGGCTAGTTCGCNAGGTCGTAAGCACTGAATCGGGGATACAGAAGATCGAGGCTCGGGATGGTTGATTTGACGTACGGCGAACCGGGCTGGACCGGTCCGGCTGGCTGGTCGGTGAACCGTCCGGGAAGCTTCTAGTTCGCCCAACGGCGAACTAAGCCGGTCATGGCTTAGTTCGCCGTTGGGCGAACTAGCCGGGACGAGGCTAGTTCGCCCACCGGCGAACTAAGCCGGCTTGGCTCAGTTTGCCGTTGGGCGAACTAGCCGGGACGATGCTAGTTCGCGTTTTACGGCGGTTTCGGTTTTTCGCAGATTTGTAAAACGATTCTTTGAGTTTTATAAAACGATTCTCGAGTTTTATAAAACGATTCTCGAGTTTGTTAAAACGATTCTCGAGTTTTATAAAACGATTCTCGAGTTTTATAAAACGATTCTCGAGTTTTATAAAACGATTCTTTGAGTTTTATGAAACGATTCTTCGAGTTTTATAAAACGATTCTCGAGTTTTATAAAACGATTCTTCGAGTTTTATAAAACGATTCTTCGAGTTTTATAAAACGATTCTCGAGTTTTATAAAACGATCCTCGAGTTTTATAAAACGATTCTTTGAGTTTTATAAAACGATTGTTCGAGTTTTATAAAACGATTCTCGAGTTTTATAAAACGATCCTTGAGTTTTATAAAACGATTCTTTGAGTTTTATAAAACGATTGTTCGAGTTTTATAAAATAGTTTTCGAGTTTTATAAAACGATTCTCGATTTTTATAAAACGATCCTCGCGTTTTATAAAACGATTCTTCGAGTTTTATAAAATGATTTCTTTTATATTTCTACGGGGAGTTTTGGTCATTGATTCCGTCGTACCGATTTTGACCCCAACATATACCTCTGTGAACTGCAATGTCACTCTATGTTTTCTCTTACTGAAATCCACGCAACATTTCTTCTCCAAGATAAATTCGTATTTGGTAAATCATATCAATTGTTTTTTGTTGCTCAGTTTTCTGGGATCTCATATTTCTCTCTACTTTTTCCTAGACAGCATTTGTACATGAAGCTTTGCTCAGATGAAAAGTTTGCCTTAGAAGAACTCAGGTTTGATTTTTATTTTGCCAAATATGTAAATCTGAGACATGGTAAGCGCAATAAATCGTTTTTATGTAAGTTTATACCTCTGCATCCAATAAATATAGGAGGGAAGAAGACAAGACAAACTCTCTTTAACAAGACAAAGTATTATTGGGTCAATCTACAATCCAGCATATTTGAATGCAGCCACCGCTAAATGGAGTACTTACTGAGGTAATAATCAGTATATAGAACTCTACTGTATAATACTCTCTTACTCTTTTCCATTATACAAATCTGTTTTCTTCTTCTTCCTAATAGCTTATTCTTAGGAAACAAATAAATTAACAAAAGATTTGACTGCGTAAATTTAAGACATCAGAGCTTCTCTCTGGTTCAAAATATAAACATAAATATTTTGACACTTTTCTTTCACTTAACCATGAAAACTTCTAATGTTTTTTTTTTTTTTTTTTTTCCAGCAAGAAGTGCTTTGGTTTTATAAAGGTCAAATGATGGCTAGATCATCTTACCACTGAGGAACCTGAAGATAGCTATTGGTCCTGCTGTGGAACGAGATTAAAGTCAATGTTAAAAGAGCAATTTTAGTTAATTATAAGTTATAACTATATACGTTGTCTATAATTTATAGAAACTGAGAAAAGTTACAGCCGTAGTTACAGCCTTATAGTAATACAAATTATTACTCTTCTCCATCCTTTGACAATTGACACTTAAGAACAATAAAAAGATATGCAAGACAATCTAATTTATTGATAAAAAGTATTTTTAATATGTAACTCTCTTGAAGTCTTCGTTTTTGAATATGTATTTATTGATTTGTTTTTGAATATTTGATTTCGTTTGCAATATTCATAAAAGAAATTAGCCAACCCGTATTGCGCGGGAAAATATCTAGTATCTCTCTATTGCTTGGAACCTTATGACTAACAATGACCAACAATGACCTAAGTTCCCTATTTATACTACCAGATTTTTCCTATATTCATAAGACCTATGATAAATTTTCCTTTTTCCATTATGCTCCGTACAAACTAACCGACGTTTTTGTTGTTGCAGGATTTGGATTTGGGCCAAGACTGAAAAATTAAGGTCCATTAGTCCACAAATACAATTAACGTAATGTTTTACACTAATGTAAAATCAGGTGTTTTACACTAATGTAAAATTAGGTGTTTTGTCCGCACATGCGGACATAATTTTCTTACAATTTATTATTAGTCTATATTTTATTAATTCAAACCAATATAATAAGTTATGATTTATGCTTTAAAATTAATTATAAATGACAATACTCACATAACAAAATATTTTCTATAAAAATATTTTTACAAATGTGTTGCTTTAATTTATGTTAATTATAATTTTTTCTATCTTAATATTTTATTTCTATAATAGAAAAATATTTTCAAGATAACAATATAATACATAAGAAGTATCTTATTTTCTCAAAATATAATTTTTAATAAAATTATTTTTTATTTTATAATAAATTTTATATGAAATTATTAAAATATAAAAATAATCAAAATTATCTAAATCATGGAGAAATTACAAATCAGATAATTCACTTAAATTTTCTAATAGAAAATATATGTTCAAGATAACAATCTAATACATAAGAATTATCTTATTTTTAATTAAATCTAGTATTATTATATATATTCGTTTTATTATTTAATAAATTATATATGAAATTAGTAAAATATGATAAATAAGCAAAGTATAAAACCATGGAGAAGTTGATAATTCAACATTGATTTCTTTATATTTAACTAATAATATTTTAACTTAATTTTTAATTTTTATGATAAAAAATATATTTTAAAGATAACAATATAATACATAAGAATTATCTTATTTTCTAAAAATATAATATTATTAATAGAAATTCGTTTTTATTAAATAAGAAATTGTATATGAAATTATTTAAATAAGAGAAATAAAAAAATTTACCTAAAATCAAAGAAAAGTTGACAACTAAGGAAAAATTGACAATTAAGCAAAATTACTTCTTATATAATAGTATAGATCTTTTTGAAATTTCTTCTATAAATATTGAGTCCTTCCTTTCATTTGGAATATACGAGCAAAACAATTGATAAACACGATGTCTTTCTACACTTTTGGTCCTCTTCCTCTTTTCTTTTACTTTTTCTTCCACCATATGATTCCTCTTTTCTTTTACCGATAAATACACTGATACACATAATAGCATAAAGCACACCAATAGAATAAATAGCTATAATAATAGTTTTCTGGTATACATTGTTAAACTCACATGGTCTTACTTACAGATAGCTATGCCTAATTCTAAACCAATAGAGTTCAGAGAAAGGAAAAAAAAAACAAAAGTTAACAGAACAAAAATGGCTTCGACAGTTGTCTTAAACCTCCAAGGCTTCAAGGAAACACAAACTCTTTAGGCTAGATCAGCAGGCATCTAGCGGATTCGAGTACCCTTGTACCGCTCCATGTCGCTTAGAGTCGTCATGTGAAATCTCCAGCTTTTTGATGACATCTCCAACGCTCTTACCACCGATGCAGGCATATGCCCGAATATTGGTATGTAGTCCAATAGACTCTATCGTCTTCTCTGTTTGTGAAGCAAATTCCCTTGATGGAGACAAGACCAAAACCTGAATCCTTTGTGACCAAACAAAAAGAAATTACCTTTTCTGATTAGTACATTAGAAATTCAGATATGTCATGCAAGATCAGTAAGTTGTAACCATGTCATATAAACACAGCAGTAATAAACCAATATTGCAGCCTTAAGTAAGTAGTCCTTGTCAAAGCAAGATCATGAACCATGTAATCACAAGAGAAAATAGATGTACTTTCTGGAGGAAGTGTTGACTAGTTGGCAGACGGAGATTGCAATCATGGAAGTTTTACCAGTACCAGACTGAGTCTGAGCCTGAGCGATAACCTCACGTCCTTTAAGAATAGGCAAGACAGCTCTCTGCTGAATCTCAGATGGTTTCTTGAAACCGTAGTCGTAAACGCTGCGAAGCACTTTGTCATTCATACCCATCTCTTCGAAACTCGAGATGGTTTTGATCTATTAGTTGAGCTTGAGCTCGAGAGAGAAAATGAAAGAAGAAACAATTTTCTGTTATTGATTCAGTTGTTCCAGATTACATTTATAGTATTGGTTTACAATCAAACCAAAAATAAAATTATACATAACTGGAATTAACCAACTAAACCAACTCTCTTCATTAATATTCCCCTTCAAGATGGCATGTGATAGACCATGATTTTGACCCGCTTTTGGTCATATTTTCTATATGTTTTTATTATAATTATCTATGTTTTGGAGTCTATTAGGTATGTTTTCAGGTTCAGGAGCATTTTGTGGTAAAGTGATGATTTAGGTGCCTTTTGGTGCTTAAAGAAGAGTTTTCCAAGATGACTATGAAGATCCGATATAAGAGACACATATC